TGCTGCTGAGGAAGCAGCAGCAGCAGCAGCAGCAGATGATGGTAGTGGAGTGGGTAAGCGACTGCACTTGGGGGTATCTGAGCGCAGCAGCAGCAGCAGCAGCAGCAACAGCAGCGGTGGTGGGAGCCGCCGCAGCAGCAGGAACGGCAGCCGATCAAGCAGCAGCAGCAATCTGAGAGGAAGCAGGGGCCCCCACGCTTCAGGGCACACCTGCAGCGACGCCGAAACCAGCAGCAGCAGCAGCAGCAGTAGCAGCAGCAGCAGTGGCGTAGGTGAAGGCAGCGCGATGCGGCGGACGAGCAGCAACCGTTACAGCAGCAGCAGCAGCAGCAGCAGCAGGTTGCTGCAGCTGCACGGTTTCATAAGCAGCAGCCCCTCCTTCTCTCTAGCGAATCGCCCGTCCCTACCCATCACGATCAACAGCAGCAGCAGCAGCAGCAGCAGCAGCAGGAGTGGGAGGGTGCGTCTTGGCGGAGAAGATTCTTTATTGCGTTTGTTTCGTTCAGAGTTGTTCGACTCGCACTTTCACATGTTTTATTTGTTTAAAAGAAAAGAAGAGGGGGTGCATGAGTACTTAGTGCATCTGCTGTACACCCGAAGAAACATCGCAGACATCAATTACTATCTGCCGCAGCTCTGCCAGCTAGCACTCACAAGGTCTGCTGCAGTAGTGCTGCTGCTGCTGCTGCTGCTGATGATGATGCTGATGCTGCTGATGCCGCTGTTGTTGCTGTTTTTGGTGGTGTTAAGGCTGCTGCAGACGTTGCTGCTGCTGTTATTGCTGCTGCTGCGGGTGTTAACGTTAGTTGGGCTGCTGCTGCGGGTGCATTTGCTGCTGGTGTTTGATTAGCTGCTGCTTGATTAGCTGCTGCGTGTGCTGCTGTTTGAGGTGTTTTGCTGCTGCAGGTTTGGGGTGTCTCCTCTCTACCGATTTTTGTTAGATGTTTGCAGCACTTTTATTCATTTTGCTCTCCGCGCTGCTTGGCTCTTTCAGAGCTTTGCTGAAGATAAAATACCTGGTAGCTGCTGCTGCTGCTGCTGCTGCTGCTGCTGCTAATGCTGCTGCTGCTAATGATGCTTATGCTGTTGCTGCTATTGATGCTTATGCTGCTGCTAATGCTGCTGCTGCTGCTGCTAATGATGCTGCTGCTAATGGTGCTTATGCTGCTGCTGCTGCTAATGGTGCTTATGCTGCTGCTGCTGCTAATGGTGCTTATGATGCTGCTGCTGCTAATGATGCTTATGCTGCTGCTGCTGCTAATGATGCTTATGCTGCTGCTGCTGCTAATGATGCTTATGCTGCTGCTAATGCTGCTGCTGCTAATGATGCTTATGCTGCTGCTGCTAATGCTGCTAATGATGCTTATGCTGCTGCTGCTAATGCTGCTGCTGCTGCTGCTGCTGCTGCTGCTGCTGCTGCAGGGTTGGAAGAGGCTGCGCAGAAGATGACGCAGGAAGTAGAGATGGCTTTGGTCAACAGCAAACCCCTGGGGCATGCAATGTACATGCGCTCAGCCAGCAGCAGCAGCAGCAGCAGCAGCAGCAGCAGCGGCAGCAGCAGCAGCGGGAAGGTTGGGAACGCCTGCAGAAGTCTTTCTGCTGTGCTAGGACAGACGCAGCAGCACCAGGAGCAGCAGCAGCAGAAGCTGCAGCAGCAGCAGAAGCAACCCCACACGGACCTATTCAAGCGACACACGCTGCTGCACCTGCTGTGGCAGCAGCAGCAGCAGCAGCAGATTCCTCCGCAGCAGCTGCAGCGCCTGTCGAGGGCCTTGTGTGCTGCTGACGTTGAAGAGCCCATACAAACTGCAGCAGCACCACCACCACGTGCAGCAGCAGCAGCAACAGCAGCATCACCATCAGCAGCAGCAACAGCAGCAGCAGCAGACCAGGCCGAGCGACGAACAGACCCACCTCAACAGCTGCAGCTGCAGCAACAGCAGCAGCAGCAGCAAAATCGTCAAGAACAACGACAAGAGCAGCAGCAGCATCACCATCATCAGCATCACCATCAGCAGCATCATCATCATCAGCAGCAGCATCAGCATCAGCTGCAGCAGCAGCAGCAGCAGCAGCAGCAAGTGGCGCCCTTTCTTGCAGCACTAGACCCTGCTGAGCAGACGCGTTTGCTTCCTCCGCGTTTACCTGCTGCTTTCAATCAACATGTTGGTCCTGTCTCAGTCGCAGGAGCTAGGGTAAGACTTCTTGCTGCTGCTGCTGCTGCTGGTTCTGCTGCTGCTGTCGGTGCCGCTGCTGCTGTTGTCGGTGCCGCTGCTGCTACTGGCGGTGGTGGTGGTGCTGCTGCTGTTGGTGCTGCTGCTGCTGCTGGTTCTGCTGCTGCTGTTGGTGCTGCTGCTGCTGCTTCTGCTTCTGGCGCTACGAGTTGGCGCGATGCCGATGCTGCTGTTGCTACCTGTTGATCTGCTGCTGCTGCTGCTGCTGCTGCATTTGCATTTCCCTTCTGCCGCTGCTGCGTCGTCATCGCCCATCTGCTGCTGCTGCTGCTGCTGCTGCTGCAGGCGAAGCTTCCTTCTGTGTACGCGAAGCTGGGCAATCCGTTAGCGCTGACGACACTGTCTCCGCCGAATCTCTGCTGCGGTTGCTGCAGCAACAGCAGAAGCAGCAGCAGCAGCAACAGCAGCAGCAGCAGCAACAGCAGCATGGGGTGTACGGACAGCTGCGTTGCAGTTGAGCTGCACCAGTTTGTAATGAAGCAGCGGCGCTGCGATTATTTTAATGCTTTAAACCACTTCGTATCTCTTCTTATTGACGTCAGCAACATTCTTGCTGCAGAACCAGACAGAACTATCAGGTATGCTGCTGCTGCTGCTGCTGCTGCACTTGCTGTTGCTGCTGCTGCTGCTGCTGCTGCACTTGCTGTTGCTACTGCAGTTGCTGCTGCTGCTGCACTCGGTGTTGCTGCTGCACGTGCTGCTGCTGCTGCACTTGGTGCTGCTTCTGCTGCTGCACTTGTTGCTGCTGCAGCTGCTGCAGTAGCTGCTGCTGCGAACAAACAAATAAATAATTTCTGAGTAGCCTGTAAATAATCAGCAAGACGAGTAAATGAGCGAGCAAATAAAATTATATATTTATTTATTTATTCTTTAAAAGAACATATAAAAATATACTTAAATATTATTTATTTATTTATTTATTTATTTATTTATTACTTCTCAGGCCTGCGCTATTATATAACATGTGTGAAAGTTTAAACTCTTGGTTGTTGTCTCGCCGTTTGTTTGTTGCTGCAAGCGGAGGAGATTTTAGTTTAGCAGGGGTAACTATACCTTTAGAAGAAGTAGGAGCAGAGCCTATGCATCACTGCAGCAGCAGCAGCAGCAGCAGCAGCAGCAGCAGCAGCAGCAGCAGCAGCAGCAGTGGTGGTGGTGGTGGTGAAGGGGGCCGTGCGATGCACGGGGGTTATAGTAGAGGCATCTACAGCAGCAGCTTTGTCTCTGCAGCAGCAGGAGCAGCAGCAGCAGACGCTGCAGCTGCAGCTGCAGCAGCAGCAGCAGCAGCAACGCATCGACCTGCTGTGCAGCTGCTGCGAATAGAAAGCAGAGACAGCAGAACGCTCAGCTCTAAGAAGAGAGCCCCATACCTTCTTATTGTTGAAGTTTGTAATCTCGATGAGGTGCTGCTGCTGCTGCTGCTGCTTCTATTGGTGCTGCTGTTGTTGCTGCTGCTGTTTCTATTGGTGCTGCTGTTATTGCTGCTGCTGCTGGTGTTGTTATTGCTGTTGGTGGTGCTGCTTCTATTGGTGCTGTTGCTGCTTCTATTACTGCTACTGCTGCTGCTGCTTCTATTACTGCTGCTGCTTCTATTACTGCTGCTGCTCCTGCTGCTTCTATTACTGCTGCTGCTCCTGCTGCTTCTATTACTGCTGCTGCTGCTGCTGCTTCTATTACTGCTGCTGCTCCTGCTGTTTCTATTACTGCTGCTGCTGCTGCTGCTGCTTCTATTACTGCTACTGCTGCTGCTGCTGCTGCTGCTATTGGTTGTACAGGATTTGGAGCAGTTCTCAGATGACTTGGAGGTGCAGCGAGAAGAAGTGCAGCAAAAGCCGCTCTTCATTTACAACTGTCTTCTTAAAGAATTAAAAGTATAAGCAGCAATAGCTTTTATTATTTGCTTTATGTATATATGTATATAGATATATAATATATAATATATATATTATATATATTATATGTATAATATATATAAAATATAATATATATATTATTATAATGATAGTCTATAGTATAAACATAACTATGTATATATATATA